GAGAGGGTCCAGAGAAGAGCAACCAGGATGATTAAGGGAATGGAACATCTCTCGTATGAGGAGAGGCTGAGTGAGCTGGGCCTGTTTTCTCTGGAGAAGAGAAGGCTCAGAGGGGATCTGATTAATGTGTTCAGGAAGGGAGAATGCAGGGAGGAAGGGGACAGGCTGTTTTCACTGGTGGCCAGCGACAGGACAAGGGGTAATGGCCACAAGCTGGAGCACAGGAAGTTCCATTTCCAGGTGAGGAGGAACTTCTTTACTGTGAGGGTGACAGAGCAGGGGGACAGGCTGCCCAGGGAGGTTGTGGAGTCTCCTTTTCTAGAGGTCTCCAAACCCGCCTCAGATGCCACCCTGTGCCCCGTGCTCTGGGTGTCCCTGCTGGAGCAGGGGTTGGACTAGATGATCTCTAGAGGTCCCTTCCAACCTTGAATATTCTGTGATTCTGTGAAATGAGTGCAAATCTGTCTAGAAGCCACAACTGTTCATTCTAAACAACAAGATTTAAAAAAAAAACATTAGGACATACTTTGCCTTCTTCATCAGAAGCTTCTCTGAATCAGGATAGTGCACCAAGATTTCATTGAGGGTCTTCTTGTCTAAAATGAAAAGGTTGGCAAAACCRTGAGCCACCACGTTGGCAGTCCTCCGATTTCCTCCACCTGCTGCTAATAGGCTGCAATGAAAATAAACATAGACAGTTACGTTGTTACTTGCGTGAACTTAAAATTTCCTCAGTTTTATTGTTGAAGATGATTTGCATGAGAAGTGGAGCAGTGCACCTCCAATGTTATTGCAAGAGTTATTGGCTGTCGATGAATCATTTCCCACTCCAAGAATTTTAATTTTCCCGAGTAAATAACTTTTGTGAGTCTCTGGTTTTCAGTCTTCCTACATATCTCATCTCACGTTTGGCTGGCAAGTTGAATGATTGAGAAGCTCTTTCAGCCTGACAGTTAAAAATGTGTCTGCATGAGAAGGCAGTTGTTTTGTTTTAAAAATAAGGCATTAGAGTATCTAAACAAGCAGTAGTTGAGCATAGGAATGATATCCACATAAAAATATGTTGTACAAACAACAATTAACTTGCTCATCTTGCATTAAACTAACAAAATGAAGAGATCTTGCTTCTCAGAACTGGTGTTAAGCAAGAGAAGATACATTTTACTCTTAGTACTATCGCTATATTAAAGGAAATCCACCATACATTTGTCCCTTAACTGTTTTCCTGAAAGTTAGTTTATTGAAAATATCCATTATATCCAAATGTAAATGTTATTAGTAAAGGATAAAGTGGATCCCATATTCTATTAAGCATGATTTACTTATTTTTACTTAATATTAATTAAGTATATATTCATATTTATTTTTAATGTCTAGGCTATTTACACAAGGTATTTATAAATACTGTATTACACTGATTATATTTGATTTATAAAACATAACATGATAGCTCTGCAACTGTGTGTACAAGGCTACTTTTACACACATGCAAACACACATGTTTTTGTGACTCAAAATAGCAGTCAGTATATGAACTCAAGTTGAAAATGCACCGTATCAGCTTTTTTTTTTTTTTTAAAAAAAAAAGAAAACAATTATGTACACTTCCTCAGATAGGAAAATACACATCTGTTCAATAAGGGCAGCAGCTAAATACATTTCCAGTGAGCTTTGTTCTGATGACTCACTGTGTAGCAAATGCTTATTGGACAGTCATCTTCAGGCTCTTCTGAGAAAGCTCATTTCATTGAAGCAAACTAGGACCAAAGAGATCAACTTTTTCCTCATAGTAATGATGTGAGATGAATTTTACAAATAAGGCCTTGCTGAAGCAAAACCATCTTTGACTAGGGACAACATTATGGACTTCATGACTAAATCTGTTTTCCTAGTATGCTAAGAGTTAAGGGAAAAACTAAATCCTTAAAAATCACCTTTCTTCACCTTTCAGTAGTTCTTGATGTTATAATAACCATATTAATACAGAAATTACTTTTTCTGCCTCACATTTTTTTTTTACTCTAATTACTAGACTGGAATGCTACAATCTTAACGTGAAAGGGAATTTTTTGGGTTCCTAYGGTAGCAATTTTAAAGTAAAAGTATCAAACTATCAGGGTGATGAATCAACTTATCAGTTTCTCTTTTATAATTATGTCTGTAGGAAAGTGCCCTTAGCTAAGTGAGCAAAGTGAAGCAGGAAATGGTGCGCTCATCTGCTGAAGGCCCAGCATAAATGTTGGAAGGATAAAGCTGAGAGCAAACTATTGCCAAAAGTCCTGTCAAAAATTTACACATAATAGAGAAGTGTTTTAATTTTTCCAGAATTACTGTTTGCTGATGGGAAAAATGTGCTAGTGTAATAACTGACAAAATGGATGAACGAAGACATCTGGCTTAAAGTGTAAACTTCTCTGGGCTAATGAAGTGTTTTGTTATAGTTTTTCTCTACTGAATTTCTCAATTATCTGTGCAGTCAGGCTGYCATTAAGGCAGCAATCTGTTTGCTTATAATTCTAAGATTATTTTGCTTCCCCAAACTGATATTATCTATACAGGAAAGTAGTAATTAGGCAGCTTCTATTTCTTAGTCTGTTTCTATAATAACTGTCAATTGGCAAAGAACTAGTTTGAACATTAAACTTACATCGGGCTTCTAGTATAATTCAGGAAAATTGCAAAGTCATTTTGAACATTGGTACATTTTTGAAATGCATGATCATTCTTTGTTTCTTCAACTCTTTTTCCCAAAGATACATTTTAAGGATAATTTATATGCATTTTGAACAGTGAGACTAAATAGCAAGTGCCTTGTTTAGTTAGAACACTATGAAAGAAGCTGACATATTTCTCTAAACAAATCTTGAATCAGAAGTCAGAAATCATGACAGCCTAATACTGTGGTTATAACCATGCCATGAAAAATTGGGGGAAAGCTTGGGCATGCTAAGGGAAGCAATATTTCATCCATTAAAGAGTTTTTTTTCTTTCTTCTTCTGCTGCTATATGGTATTGACAGAAYTTATACAGAAAAGTGCTATATAAACTCATTATTTTCTAACATACTGCCATAAGGAGGATAAACCTCTGCTGATGTACTTAATGGCTCAGGTCTTTGTTTTCCTTTGGTTTTGTAAACTGTTAYGTATTTCCCCCTCAAGTTTATCCTCAAGATCAGGCCATTTATATCCAAAGTACTTTTGCCTGTACTGGTACTCTTTTAAGTATGTTTCCATCAACATGATAGGTCAACGATGACTAAAAAGGMTTAGAAGTGTAGGCTTATAGTATTGCTGAGAGTTTTATTGGCCATATCAGCAATTATGGGTAAAATATATTGTGTAGTGAAACTTTGGTCATTGTGTGAGTCTCTTGCAGAAATAAGTGCTCAGCTTTATTGGATTAAAAGTTTGAAAATTACTTCTTTGCATAAAAGTTGATCATTATTTCTAAATTAATCGTTATCATTGTTCACTATGAAAATTGATCATTATCATTGTTTTTAAAAAAACTACTCCAAATCCAGAACTCAGAAGTAGTACAAAACTAAATGAGGGTTGCATATCCTGGCTGCTTTTTCCTTTTATCATTTCAGTATCCAGCCCTTATTAAAAATTGGTGGATTCTCAGCCTTTCCATGTAGCTTACAACACAACATTTTTGGGGGGGGACTTTACTCCAAAATTATATTGTCACGCAGAGAAATAGTTTTAAAATAACCTCTCAGACAGCTGATATAATTTCATTTTCCCACTCTATGAGAAAGGCCGGTATCTGTGGGACAGATCAGTGTTTTCTGCTTGAAGGTCTCAGCAAGTTCTGTACACATCTCACTCTACAACCTGGCGTGTTTCCACTACCTCCAAGGCAGCAGCAAGCGGAAGATAAAGGTAAACCTGGCACAGTGCTGATTACCACTTTTCAAAAGGCAGATTAATGCTACCAGCAAGAGGATTAGCAGCAACAGGATGGCAGCTGGAAGGAATCAAGGACCCAGTTTATCACATTCAGCAGCACATGTGTCTCATTACTTTTTCCCCAGGCCAAACTCAGCAGGGGATGCCGTGCCTGAAACCTAGCACATGGTTGGCTAATTGGCAAACATGGCACATAGCAGTTAATGGATTTTGCATAGAAACTGYGGAAAACAGGAAAAACATTTGTAGCAACTTGAGAAAAGTTTTCTCTTCCAAAAAAACTTAGACCCTCTCAAACTGGTCTGTCAGCCTTAATCTTATTTTTAAAGGCATTTCTCTTAAACAAATGCATTTTCATATAGAGGTGCCTGATTTTCAGTGACTTAGTCCCKATGTCAGCTCCCAAAGGAAACAGTTTCATTTGTTACTTTAGATATTTTCTCCTCCTTGTTGGAAATTATTTGTCACTTTTAGTATCTGCTGCGTATCTAGGAATCTAGGTGCTCTAGTCTCAGAGAGCATTTGATCCTGCTGAATTGCAGATCTTGGAGCAGGAAAACATGTTAAATCTTCTCAGTGCTGAAGAGAAACTCTCTGTAATGAGCATGTGCATTGCCCAAAACATGGACCATACATTATTTGCCATTCAGAAATCTCAAACTTTTCTACGTAAGTCTTGGGGGGTTGTCTTCTATTTTTTTTTAGCTTGTCTATCTCTCTGGTATCCTCTTGTTTGATGCTACCAAACTTTCTAGCCTCCCTATGGTAACTATCATGCTTATCAGCAAGAAGTTAAACCATCATTAATTATTTCACCAGAAGTAATTATTTCTATGGAAAGCATCAAAAATAGTGATAGACGTACCTGATCTCTCCAAATACAGCTCCTGCTCTTAGTGTGACCAGGACTTTTGTACCGTCAGGGCCTCCAAGAACTTGAACTTCTCCTTGTTTGATGATGTACATTTCTCTGCCAATCTCTCCCTGGGCACACAAAAATATAATCCCCCATTTCAGCCAGGCAGGTGTTTGTTTGTTTGTTGTTTGCTAGTTCGTTTTTAGTAGAATAATCTGACAGAATCCTTTATGCAGATTTACTAGTGTAATGCTGAAGTAAATGTTAGTCTGCACTAACTTTCCTAGTACTAAGCAAGAAGACTAGGTAATAATCCGGGTTGTAGAAGTGCTTCTATGGGCTATTCTAGTAGTAACTGATGTAATTAATAAGTATATTTAATAATAGGTTAAAAAAAAAAAAAGCCCGTGCTAATTTTCACACTATAACTTCTAATTGACCTCAACCTAATTTTAAAGGGAAAATAGGAGTTGTGAACCATTCAAAAGTTTGTGCGTTTTCATGTAATCACTTGGTGGTTTAAGAGATTATTAGTTTATTTACTATATTTCATGTTAGAGAAGATCTGCCAGGATTCAAAGTTGACAGTCATAAATGCAGATTTGTCTGCAAAAAGCAGAAAAAGAAACGTAGCCCTGATTGGACTTTGCAAAAGTCCAATAATTAATATTTTTCYTGTCATCTCTGTAAAACAGTCAAGTAAATACTATTGCACTTGTACAGCTGAGACAAATCAGGAACTTCAACTTAAAAGTGAACAGACAAGAACACCAAAACCAGGGCTGAAAACAYGGGGCTTGTTCCTTTTGTCCCTGAATGTCCATCCTCTGGGCTTGTGTGCTGGACCCTTTTGGGCAGTGTGATGAGACCAGTGTACAGTCAGGTAGGACGTACTCACGGGTCTCAAGTTCCAGCAAGGATGTTTTTCACTCCTACAAGATACAGCATTAATAGGATTACTGTTATCCTATGCCTGTGTGGCAGTGGTTGGTCACATAGTAACCCTACTCACATGAGTGGCCTTTTATGGAATTCATGGAGCTGGAATAAAATTATTTTTTCTGTTTCTTGGAATCCATCCTTGATGACAACCACTTGCCTCTGACTGCAGGACCAAGCTCTTCAATCTGTTGCTGTGATTTTTGCCTCTACTAGGGCACAGTTCCATCACACAGGAGCGGTGTGCAGCTAACCACATACTCAACGTGCACGTTGGAGGTGGCTCACAGACCCGAGTGTAGGAACAGCAAGTCAGAGCACCTGTGCAGAGCTGTGCTGGATGCCTTGTGCTTTCCTGCAGATGTTTCTATTTAGAGCTCTTGGGTACACAATGAAGCTTTGAGTATTCACAAGCAACATTGCTGAGCTCCACAGGCTAAGTTTGTATTCATATATGTATAAAAATAAAATTTCCCCATGTTAAATAGTCAGGCTTAATGATGTCACTAGATATTTACATGAAATAMTTTCCCAGGTTACCACCCTGTTTAAAAATATAAAGTAATAAAATCCATATTTTCTTGCTCTAGCTTGTAACTTGAGAGTTTATTATTATTACACATCATGTGATAATTATTTTTTTATGATATCAAACTTACTCAGGATTAATCTTATTTAAAGTGTCCTGGTGACCTACATCTGAACTCTTGTTCAACTCTACAATACATATTATCTTATGTTTGAAAGAGATAGTAATGCTTACCTTCTTGCAGACAAAGTCGCCAGGTAAATATACAATGGATTTCAAGCGTAGCAGCATGTCATATATCATCTGAGTATCGCACCCCTTTAAAGCAATTAGAATTGTGATGTATTAATTCAGAAAAGTTTCTGAATTAATCAGAAATTAATGAATTAATCAGTGCTTAAATTGGACAGTAAAATGCAATGGTACATGAATGCTGATCCAGGGATTCATAAGCAGAATGCAGACTAAAAACACCATAAGGACACATTYTATAGTAGAGAAAACAATTAAAGGAATTGTCTTTCCAGATATTTATAAATATCTGGTTATACACTTTCTGCAAATCAAGCTTGCCTACATCTAAATCTGATGACTGTGGAAGTTCGGTTAGTGCTATGTTAAATGCTTTATGGGTCTTTTATGTGAAACACTTTTTATTCATCCATGTGCAAAAAAATAGATCACACCCAATGTTGTTATGAATCTATGAATTTCATGTCTTCAGCAAATGTTGCAAAACAGTGAAGCTATGCATGTTTATACAAAGATACCAGRGGATTTCTTGCAATTACCCTAACAAGCAAATCAGTATTGAGATAATTTAGTCAAGATTATTTCTAAAAATATAGCTTTTTTTTTTTTTTTTTTGACGTGGTAGGATATATATTTTTCTGTTACAAAAACACTTAATGTCTTAAGGCAGTGATGTAGATTGCACTAAAAATTATTTTCTTCTATACCTAGAAGAAATACCTAACTCTTACAATGATGAGGCATACCCTGAAATCAGTTACATAACATCCATTTTAATATGTTGGCATAATAGGACAGTATGTCTCCTTTCCTTTTTATCTCTGCTTCGAAATAAAAATTTCAAAGACAGACATTTGGCTTAATCCAAACAATTTTCCACTGACCTAGATATCTCTTAGACTTATTTTGTCTTGAATATTAACAAACATATTCTTAAGTGCACAAAATAAACAAAGCAAGGTTTCTGTCTCATGAGTGCCATGCATTGCTGCATTCTCCTGTAAAATACTTGCCTTGAATAAGTCAACATTATTGACGATGGCAAAGTTCACATCAATTGCAATGGCGAGCTGCATTTTGGTTGGCATCTGCTCCAACAATTCAGATTCATCTACAAAATAAATAWCAGATTCAAGCCTGGTTAGCTAGAAAATATAAAGGGAGAATGAAAAAAAAATTCATAAAAGTGGGCATTATACAGAAAAATAACTCGCTAGAGCAATTCTAGCAGTTCTAATGAAGAAAATGCTAATRTACTTTCACCATAAGGGATTGTCATTGAAGTTGCATACTTTCTGAAGTTATAACCAGAACATTATATAAATTAATAGAATTTGTGAAGTAATAAGCATCATACTGCTCCAGAGCTTTTTGCTTATTTGCAGTAAATTGCGTACCSTCCTCTCATCCTCTACCGTGACATTCAGCAGAGAAGAAATGTGGATTTTTGCTTGTATCTACACAGAGCCTTCTTCCTTTGGAGTCCCTGTGGGACAAGTGTTTGAAAGTCTTACCGAGCATTCCTTGCGAGTCCCACGTGTATTCATACCAAGTTCGAACACGATTTTGAACCACTTTAGGAATGGAATAAGTGTTCATATAGGAGACCGTGTTGTCCATACAGGAGCGGTAGTAGTTCTGTCCTGCTGTAGCTGCTCCGATTACATCCCGCATCTGTAAAGATCACCCATTGTTACGACATGTTGTACCAGGAACGATCTAGATTTGAATAACTTTTCAACAACTTATAAGAAAGAACTTTTGCAAAATAGCTAATTCGTTATATATTCTGCTGTATGTTTGAGTAGTTGTTTTTTCTGTGCTTTCAGAAAGATTCATGACACACTAGTTATGTTAGAAGCAGTCTAGATATGTGATTTTTAAAGGAATCGCATGCAGTTTTCTGCTTTTTCTTCCATCTTGTACTTCTGCACTTGGAAGAAAAGATATAGATTAATATTTTTAAAAAATTCATAATAAATCTGCTCTGCATTTGGTATCTAACACAAATTAAAAATGAAACGAACTGGGTTAAGTTTCTGCATTAACATCAGCTGGCACCACTAAAACTAAGATCCTGCCAATGTTTAAATTGTTGAGTAAGTCTAGATGAGTCACAAAAATATATCTTGGGCTGAAAGTTGATGTTAAAGATTTAGTACAGGAATATTATTTAATGTTTCAACACTGTTGAATTCATATCAGTTAAATTTTTAAAAGTAGAATGAGTTAATGTTGATACACATTCCTATTTCATAAGCGTAACTGTATAGAAATGGTTTTAGTACAATTGCTTAATATTGCTGTGCCCAAGGATTGGTACGTGAGAAGACTAGATTCTCCTTGTTACAGAGATGCAATTGATTGCATAACGAATAACAGCTTTTACATAAGTGTGMTAATGTAGAATTAGTAAAATTTTACTAATTTTAGGACATTATAGCATTATAGCATTACAGAAATGCAGCTGATTTCACAAGAAATAAAATTTTTAGATATGTGTGCTAGAGCAATAGTAATAATTTCAGTAATTTTAAGAGCTCTTTGTAAGTAGGAGTTGTAAACRAGATGCAGTGAAGCTCTATATTAATATTTGAGTTTTGATTCTGTGATTGACTATGCTGGTTGCAAAAGCTACTTTGCAGAAGCAAGGGGTAGACCTGTGGCTTCATAGACTGTTTAGTCAAATTAGAAGAAAATAAATATTTTAACCCAATCTACTCAAGTTCAATAATTTGTCAGAAGAAATATTTTCTATGAAGAAGTACTTTGCTGTATTTTGGGTGATTCTGTGTTGTGAATTAGTTTTAAATTCTATGGGAAGAATCTGTTTCAGGATAGCAGAAGATCTCCTTCACTTTTAAAGTAGCGAGAGGCATGTGTATTTTTTTAGCTGTTTGGCTAAAATTTTAAAATCCTATATTCAAAATAAAAATGAAATGTTATCAGTTTTTGTGTTTGTCTTTTCTTATTAATTTTCCCAGTGACATATACATGTATAAATCCAAAGGCCTGGAAGGATTTYGATGGGAATTTAATGCAAGATGCAATCTCATGGAGGAACTATAACATTTGTATTCCTGTTGGCAAAGTATTTTAAAAGAAGTGGATCCAAATCCTAAATCTAATAGTTACAAGCTGGAAATAGTTTATGCCGGGTTGTGTTCATTTGGAAATATAACTGATTTGCTTTGCTATGAGCTTTTTTTTTTTCCCTCTTGCCAAATGAGAACGAAGAGGGATGGAAAGCAGTTAATTTTCATGTTAACAAATACTGTGTAACTTATGGAAGAGAGCAGAATTCTAACTTGGCAAGGATCATCACATTTCCATTAACAATACGTTCTTGCCAGTACTATCACACATGATTTATTCAGTAATTTGTAAATATTAATGTAACTATATCTGCAGTTATAACTTTCATACCAGATTTAACAGTATAGTGTGAATATTAAGGAGCTGTTTCCTTGGCTATGAGGAAAAACAGAATTATATATAGTTTAAAGAATCATCTGTGTCCTGCAATCTTGGCTTTAAATCAACTTGTGTGTAATTTTGGATATGGCCTACAAAATTGGGAACTGGTTAAACATTTATTTATTAGGAGAATAAATAGAGATGATACTTAAAAACAGTGATATTCATATAGAAACTAGTCTTTTGTCTTTTTTTTTTCTTCCCCAAAAGATCTAAACCACACTAAGCTGAATACATTATCCTAGAGCTACAGCAATTTGAACATATTTAGCAACTGATTTCTTGACATACCTGGCCAATTAAGCTGGAGAAGACAAAGACACCCAAGAAAAAATTCAGCAGTTGAAAAACTATCTCAAACAGGGTTTGTGGTTCTGGAAGACCACCGATGGTGATTAAGGTGCGAACGGCCCAGTAGTAGCACCTCAGATACCTGTGGACACAGACGGCATTGGTGTTATCAACTGTAAGGACCCATGTGGTTGAAACGAAGAAGATGCACGCCAGGATTTGGCCTTTCAGTGAGGCCTTCTTGGTCCAAAAAGTCTCTTTTTTTTTTTTTTTTAGAAATTGTTCTGATTTTGCAAGTGATCAAATCATATTGAGGTAAATATTCTCACTGATGGCAAATTAAGAAATATATATAAGAAAATGCAGCAGTTGTTTAATGGTGTCTAGTAACACTACACAGCAGTATGGAAGAATACTTTCAGAAGAAAAGTTTTTATTTCAAACAAAGGAAAATGAACTCCCATTAACAACTAATTCATATGGGGAATTTTCCATTTTAAACCACTTCGAAATGGTTTCAGATGTTCCATTTAAAAGATCAGGCCGTACTAAGCAAATGATTTTTGCTTTTCACTAAGAAGTTACTTTTCTCCTGCCTTCAGTCTCATGGAATGCAGTAGTAATGATCATCTTTACTAGAGTTATCTGCTTTTAGATTTTAASAGCTAGAACTGGCAGTTTTATTCAGAGCCATTCAGAAATCAAAAATTTCATTGGCTGTATATCATATATCATCAAATCATTTTTTCCCTGTTGTGGTTGCAATTCACTCAAATTTTCACTGGAATTTGAAAAGAAATCATCACCTAAATGTGTTTCCAGCAAAGGCTGCATAGGTGGTGGCTTTCTCTCAGAGTTCTGTAACAGAAATAAAGAGCAAGAAAAAGCCTCAGATCCACTTAASAAAGATTGCAGATTTAAGCCTAAAATTCTCTCCCTACTGTGTCTAAGGKGAATCATCATACAAAGCATATGAAGAGCATGCTTGTTCACCAACACTGTGCATGCTGTGCCACTTGAAATATGTAGACTTTATGAAGTATAAAGAAATTAGCATTAGTTCTGAGCTAGTAACTACAGGAAATTAAAGTAATTAACAAACTCTGTGCCTCCCAACAGTCCAGAGTGGCAGCCTCYCTAGGTTCACCAGAATGGACAATATAATCATAGCTCTGAGAAGATCTATGAGGAGAGAAAACAGATCCTCAAAGAGCTTCAGGGTGACATTCTTCTCTGCATCCAGTCATATAAAATGGGAGGGGTTTTCCAGAAGTGTCCACCCTTTCTAAAGACATAGGTATCACAGAGCCTTTGTCTGTGGTTTTACTTCCAAAGAAACTATCTACCAGCAAAGTCACAGGATGTTCATCATCTCTTAGGCACTGGTTTTATATTTTCTCTATTTACTCATTTTATTGTTTTTATTTTAATCTGAAATAAGAGTTAGAGAGTTGTAATATAAGACAGCATTTTTTTCTAAGAATTGAAGAAATGAGATTGTAAATTTTGTTTATGGAAAACCAGAAAAAAACAGATTCCAATTTCAGTGGTATTAGTAGCTCTCATTCCTATAGTTAAAGTGTCTGGAAACCATCATTGCTTGCTATACAGCTTACTAGCCTGCTATAAAATTACTGTTGAAGCAAACAACATGAGACAAGAATGGGATTTTACCTCTGTACAACATAGGCAGTGTGTTTATCCTTCAGGCAATCAAACTACCAGATTTTTCCCTCAAGTAAGTCTGAGCTAGGGAAAAAAAAATCTGCAAATAAGATCCTTGTAATGCTATGCCAATGAATATATCTTTCTCATAAAAGTGCATTTCAGAATAAGCTAAATTTCCTACATGGTTTTGGTTAATACAGTTAAATCAAATTTTTATGCATACGGCTATCAGATTTTAAGGTGATATGCACACATTAATTTCAGCCCAGTGAAGCATTAATTCAGGGCTGCCTCTGTGATTGCAGCTGGGAAGGTTATGAAGCGGAGCAAAGAGGTGGCTTTTTTAAACGTATATTCTCACTCCTCCAGTCTTGATACCATTTTTTCTTGAGTGACTTATTCATCAGTTGGTTGCAAGTGTGATGGTCTCAATGGTGTGAACTACATATAGTTCACCTTTATGTAAAAATAATATCTACAGGTATCAGGCTACAAGTATCAAGTTTGAGACTATTAGGYCTGACTGTGCTGACTGTGCTGACTACTAGGCTTGGCTGTGCAAGGCAAGTTCTGCAGGCACAAAAAAGCCTCTGTTTAGCAAGCACTGTGAGCATGACACACCAGACATATTTTAAGCTTGATGCACAGCTGACATGCACATATAGTCACCTTTAAGGCACGCCAGGTTTAACTGAGTAGAGAGCAATRTGTGCCAAAGAGATACAGTTTTTCTAGGCATGTCCAGGAATCATCTTCTGGGATTTCCAGATGTCTAATAGGTCTGTGCCCGAGCAAGAAGACAACATATTACAGAGAAACTCTAGAGAAAGTATTAGGATGCAAAAAGCTATTTTGATTGATAGATATTCTGGAGAATAATTCCATCAGATAGAAGTCYGTGGGAGAATTCAGAGCACTGATGTTAGATTCCTGCTTGGAATCACTTTCTGGASGATCTGTCCCTTATCCTAAGGAGCTGGGGAAACCAGTCTCTTCCTTAGAACTCCATGTGTTTGGCTTTGGTCTAATTTAGACCTAATTGTTCAGCAAGCTCTGACTAGGASTTCTAACTTTTTAATGTCCTGCTGCTCAGGGCACCTAAGGTCTGCACCTAAGGCATTTTGCCTGTAATGCTATTCTTTATTAGGAGAGTCTGAGGCTGCCATCCTGGCTGTACCTCATAAGTGATACAGCAAAATAATCTCATCAGTGCAGTTTGGAGGCTGGGCACATACTGTGTGGCTAATTTGGTTATGCTGTAGGGTGGTGAATTTGACTCTCCTCTGTTCCCCAACTTAGTGGCTTTGATTGATGGCTGCCATACAAAAGACTTTAAACCCTTTTGGACTAACGCTAACACTTTAGAGTCTGAACACAAACTGGAAAACAATACAGCTAACAATAATTTCCCAAAGCAGTACTTTAGTAATTTTGCTTGTGATTTGAATGCTTTGCTACATCTGTTAGTTATAAATTGAAACTTCACCAGTTAGTATGACTGCTTAGGCACATACATATGATCAAACTGATTAAAGGAATTGCTGTCTGCATATTCTTCCTTTTAGCCTGGAAAAGAAAGAAAGAAAGAAAAAAAAGAACCTAGAAGTGTTGAATTTTTTTAGAACTGCCCTTGACCATCACCAGCAAGATTTTATGGAGATAGTAGGGATTGTACATAAAATATGAATGCCACTAAATTATTGCGGGTTCATTTGCTTGAGATCAATGTAATCTGAGACCAGTGCAATATTATTTATCAAAAAATCCTAACTCTCTTTGTAAAATTAGCTAAAAAGCTGTGCTTGTCTTATTGGTGTCCCAATCTATGTGAGACCAACAGACATTTTGCTTCAAATACTGGCAACTCTTATTCGCTGTATGAAAGGAAATTGTATTGCTGTACCATAGTACATACTGCAGTTCTGGTCACCTTTTCCAGCAGATTATTCTCTGTACTTGGTTCCTGCTTTGCACAGAGACAAAGATACCTAGAAGCATCTTATCTGATGGTTTGAAATCCACAGCCAATCTCGGTCATAACTGATGTTCACACAAATGTATGTCTTTAAAATATCCCTAAATATCAACATCAGATAACACATAATGCCTGATTCTGTAACTTGTAACCTCTGTAGCCTAATCTTGTTGTTACAATATACCAAGCTATTATTTTATGAGATGCACAGGATAATGTATAGGATACCATGAACATAAGATCATATATTATAGCATGCAATAAGGTATGGGCAAAACAGTAGCTGCATGCATTTATCAGCTAATGTCAAGCTAAGGCAGATTAATGAGTTAGAGGCCTGTATGGATTATTATGGTAGGTGTTTTATTTCAACATCTCACTTTCAACCAGAGCTTGAGTTACTAGTTTCTTTATCAATTTATTATTATTTATAATAATGCTGCCCTAAATCAAACGTGATTTCAGTTTKATGTCATTTGAAAAAATCTTCTTTCTCCTCAGGGAAAGGGTGCCACAAAATATTTATTAAGCAACCTGACCCCTGYCTTTGGACGGAACCACAGTGGCTCTGATCAAGCTAGCAAATCATTTCTACCAGTTGCTTCTCTCAGAGGAATGTAACATCCCTGCCCATGATAAATAGAAAACTTTATTTGTAAGCTAGTATTTATAAAAAWTACATTAATAGAATGACTATAATAAAAAATCATTCCTCTTTTTTTTTCACATTTCTGTCAATATGGAGCTTGCAAATAACAACTGATGTATAGCTTTACACATATAAGTATTCCCTCTGAGCTCCATGGGCCTGCTTACCTGGGTATCTGATTACAATAAACAAGTGTTTTTGTGGGGAGTGAAAATTTCAACCATGTCATTTTTTGAGATGGAACCTAATTATTCAAAAATCAATGCCATTTTCTTTCCCTTCAAAATGGTGACTTCCCAGTTGACTTATGAAGCCTGACAAAATTATAAGCAAAAAGAACATGTCTCTAAGCTATTAAAAGRAAGTATGAAAAAATGTTTAAAGGGTGATTTATATCACCAGTTTCATATTATATGTCCCTTTCCAAAGAATGTAATTAATGAACAAATAGAGCTTATAGTCTTTGAAAGAAATGCAAATATTTTCATACAACTGAACCTGCTAGATATATTGTTATATTATTACACAAAAAAACACCCCAACACATTAGGACTTTGCTATTTTCTTCTTCTTTTTTTCAGACCAATCACTGCGGTGTTTAGCAAGAATAAAATGCTGCATTTCAATGACATAGTGCTGTGTGGCAGAAAAAAAATCTCCACCTCTGATGCCTTCAAGGGATTGTTCCGCCATCCTTCTAACACTTCCCATGTGTATATGTAATCACTAAGTTTAATTTATGACCCCTGATACTTTCTAAATGTTTAATTAAGTTAGTGCTTAGCGCTGACTCACAAACCTATAAAAACTGAGAGTGGTAAACTGATTATYCACTGCACCTGCCCCCCAAGTATTCGTTAGTTATGAAAGCTGCTAATCAGCAGTTACAGTGCTGGAAGTTTGCTGTGCAAGCCCTCATAAGATAAGGGCATACCCTGCAAGCAAAGTCAGGGGAAAGGGGGAGGCAGGAAGGAGCAAAGCTTTCAGAGGAAAYGGACTTACATGTTTCCTTCTCCATCGTACACCCATTTAGTGCTGCCAAGTCCTTCATAGTCCGAGGCCCAGTAATACAGGCATGCGTTAATGTGCAAGATAAACAACAAGTATCCAGTTGTTCGAATGACCCTGTGAAAGAAAGCAAAGTCCAAATTGCAGATGAACAAAGAGTTGGTGTTTTCCCCTCCTTTTAATATGGAATCCTTTGCTTTTTTAGCTCAATGGTGCTTATATTAAGCATCCACTAAGTGGTTAATTCACTGCATTAACTCTGTGAAAAAATATTTGTCAGTTACCTGTCTCTCATGTCCTTCCATGGGCAAACAAATAAATTTCCTAGAATGCTTGATGCAGGGTTATGCTCCCCTGGTGATTCCATAACCTACTTATTTAACTGCCTATGAATATTTACAAAAAGATGAAATTGTATTCATGAGACAGGAGGATACAAATTAATAAGTTCACCAAAACTCGTTACAAGATAGACTCTAATCTTKTTTTGAACAAAAGCCAAAAAGTGCCTGAGGTCAGAAATGATCTGCTTCACAAGAGCTGTGTTTCTGTAGGTCTGCTAAGTGAGAACAGTAAACAGCCAATATGAGCTAGTGATACAGTAACACTGACTGAGTCCTGTATATATGCTTGAATCCCTGGGGGTGGGTTTCTGATGAAATATGTTTCTGAGCAAAACAGACCTTTTAGGACATGGATTTTCCTGACCACCAAATATTGGAAGACGTATGGTGGAAAAAAAGTGGAAGAAAAGATGAATTTGGGGCAGATTTCTACCTGTTGCCAGAAAACYAGGCTGAAGTGGGAATTTCTTAGAGAAGAGAGAAAGAGAAGAATCCGAAGCAGGTTATAGGGAAACACTGCTTCAGGAGCAGGAGCAGTGCTCTAGGACACAGTATGATATAAAGCAGAACAGAAGAAGAGTGATGCCTGGTCACCACCAACAAGGAATGGTGGGAAGAGGCCTTCTTCGAATCATAGCATCATAGCCTCAGAATGTAATTCTGTTTTTACATTTTCTAAAGGCCTTTCCCTTTCAGCCTCTCATTGTGATCATGTCAGTAATAGGGCTCCAAGTGCAACTTTATTTTTCATCTCTTCACACACACCTCGTACAATTATTTTCCACAGATCACTGGAAGAAAAAGCTCACTCTTGATCTCTACATTCCCGTTGTTCCACTAGCTGCTGAAAGACATATTAGCAGGTCATTCTTACAGTCTCAGTTATATTTGCCCAGGTAGGACCAAAGAATATCTTTAATCCATGTGGTCATTTTTTAGATGGATTTATCACTGAAAGTTCCATATCAGAAAGTTCCATTCCTAAACACCTTGTAGAGTCATTACACATTTTCATTACTGTTCTTTAAAGTAGATGGCAACATGACAACTACTGGGTAGCAATGTAACATCCTTGAGAAAATATGTCCTCTACATCTAAAATACATCTAAAATACTGAAAGAATTTCAGTATTTTGCATCTTATGAATGAGTCTATGATAACTGCCCAAAGCCTGAGAAAATTTACTGTGTTTATTGGTATTTTTATGTTTACTACTATCATTTCAAAGAAAAAGAATAAATAGGCCTAAGTGGAGGAGCAACAGCCATCTCTAATCACATGGCAAATTGCTGCTTTAAGGAGAGCATCAACCAGGCCGCTCTGGACATCTTGGGAAATTCTGAACTTCTGCCTTTCAGTTCTCAATGATATATAAATTTTGTTCATTAAACAGTTAAAATTCAAGGCAGGTACAGTTCTTTGTCTCTAGCCTATTCATGAGAGATCTCACCATCTGCCCTTCACTCTCTCAAATGCAACCCTATTGTCAGCATGCAGATATGTGGGCAATAGATAAACAGTTCTTCTATGATCCCACTGTTTAGCATGAGGTTTCAGCAGCCAGAGTAGCAAAAGGTAAGTGGCATCTCACAGAATAACAAGGGGAATGTCAACACCATTCATGTCACAAAAGCAAATCCTCATCTTTTATATTCAAGAAATACACTGCAGCTTCTATGGCTTATCAGAATGAACTTTTTTTAAATATCTCATATTAATATTGGCAATTACCATTACCAAAATAGTCAATGAAGACTTTGAATATTTTATTTATAAATAATTTTATAAAGTCTTATTTATTTATAAATTCAGAAATCTTAGGGAAAAAAATAAGACTGCAAAACTTCAGTTGCTTCAGTGCAATGAGGGACTGCAAAACTGCCAAAGCTTTACCACGAGTGGAAAGCCTTCTGCCATTTAATAACACTTAATAACACTTCCATCATTACAGCTCTAAAAATCAACTTGTTTATATAAAAMTGGCTAACTATTTATCTGACATTTATCTGAGATAGTAATTTTCTAGATGGCTTCTGAACCTTTGTGCCAACTTTGGGGGTGAGTTTCAAGTTGATCTCCAGAAAAATACTCCGTCATTTTGAACTTTCTCAGCCACAGACAGTCATTGCAGTCTGCAGTAAAATCCTTGCCTTGCTTGACAACTCCTTCAGAAGCTGGGGAACAGTGCTGTGCTGCCTGGTGCTAATGGGAAAAAATATCCTCCCGGAGCAGCTAGTCTGTGTCGTCCTTCTCCCTATCCTTACACTGCAGGTGCAGGTGCTCACTGCTGCTCCCAAAAGCACTGCCAAAACAGCTCTTGTAGGTTGCTTWCAAAGCTCTTGGTCAGTGAGATGTCAAATACTGTTATCTGTGGTCACCAGCCCTACAGAGAAGAGTTATTTTTATCTATAGTTGAAAATGATGTCAGCCAGACAAAAGAAGGATCGTATGATGAAAAAGAATCATCAGATTTTATGAGCTAGCAATTATTTTGCCTTGCTTCTGCTGTGTAACAAAGTCTCATTGTGCAAAGATACCATTTAGCATTTATACCAAATATGCTGCTTAATGCAGAGGAAGTTCAAACTATCCAGAAACGATCTTTTTTACTAGATTTGTAGCCAGCTGCATTTGTGATCCTGACTAGATCATGGTACCTGGCATGCCACATTTCATCATGCTTCAGGTGTAGGAACTAGACCTGCTCTCCTAGAAGCCTCCTCCGATTGACTTGACTAGCCACAGGCATATAAACTTGCCTAGATAGGATGAAATGTCTTTGAACTCAGACACCTAAATGAGTTTTCTTCCATTTTCTAAAACAAAAAGATGAGAAAGAAGAGTAATACAATCACAACTAAGTGATGGATAGTGTAAATAACTGTAAATAAGTAAGTCATAAGCTAGTTTTCGGAGAACTGACTCAGAATAAAAGATTCATGAGTTCAAAATCCAAGTCCAATCCAGGGTAAGTGGATAATCATGGGTGTTTGAAAGCAATTGTTTTGTTCTTTGGGTGCCTCTTTATAAAGAGAATCTCAGTATGTTGTGAGTATRTATGTGTGGGCTCAGGCTTACTGTTTTGCTACACTGGAGAATGCTTAATCTGAGAACTTATTTCATGCCTTCCAGATCTTGTGCTTGAACCAGAATTCTCCTAGGAATATCAGGCAGTTTAAACATCTTCATGTCAACTAGCAAAAAACCATGCTGTTTGTTGGGAACTTAAGTACCACAGGATTAAGCAACAGAAGAGATTTTTTTTTTATGGATGCCCCTATGGACTTGAATGGACAAGCAGTTGCTGGAGTATGTTTAAAGATCTAGCTTTTATTTACTTCATGCACAACTCCCTTGACTTTTCTATATCCATTTTGCTGTCCGCAATATTAAAACTAGATTTATTACACGTTGAGTACCTATGCCACGTAGTGTTATCTAATCCCTAACAACATTGCTAAATTAGATTAAAAAATAAAAGTAATAAAGAGTAATTAGGAAGAAATTACAAAGTATAAGCAAAACAAAGAAGAAAACTCATTCTTTTTAATTAGATTAGAAATTGGAGAAAACCATGAGCCAGTGATTCAGAAACTGAAATGCAATTTCTCCGTGTTGTGGAAATTACAAAGAAACCTGCTCTTACAACAACAAGACAGAAAAATCATAAATCAGTGAAAGGAGAYGGCAACATAAGAATAATGTTTGTGGAGGCCAGCAAAACAATTAATTAAGATGAAATTTCAGACTTCTAAGTTTTGTTTAATTTAGCAGGTATCCGAAAATACAAACCAGATAATGTTTTCTTTTTCACATTTAACTACAGTTTCTAAATCTCATAAAATATCTAATTTGCAGTGTAAGAATCCCAAGGTTACCATTTAAAGGCAATAATGTCTGGAACAGAATGAGATGTTAAAAAAACAGATTCCTATTGCTGCTACAGCAGCACACAGGAACAGCGTATGCCTTGGAACTGGAACAGGGTAAAAGTCTGTATTGTATAGGATGAAGCAGAGCTGACGACACTGTTAGGCAGTGSAGGACAGTGAGGGAGGCAAAGTGGACAGACACAGGGTCACAGCAGCAGCACTGTCTGCTGAGGCAGCTAGGAAGCTGGCCATGCTCATGGCCACGAACCACCTGAGTTGTCCCAGTGGTTGTTTTGGTCCATGCAAAAGATAAGAATACGATAGTGTAGGGGACAGACACTGTTCTCATTCCAGTTTTAGTCAAGGACATAGAGGATCACATTTCTGCATATGCCAGGTTTAGGATGAGACCATATTTGATGCAGGATTAAACTCACAGCTTCTATGAAGTGCAAGCGAATGGCTACTGAGGATTTGGCACTGCTGTGAACAACCTTAAGAAACTTAACCTTCTTCATTCAAGAAACTTCTGTCTGAYACTTTCGATTAGCTAAATTTTGGCAGGATCCCCGGTTTGCTAAAACCTGTGTCTGAAAGTAACCTATATACTCAAATAGGCCATCCGAACTTAACAGGATTTCGTGTATGAGTGAAACATCACATTTATTATTCGCAAGATTACAATAAAAACAAACATTAAAAAAAAAATCTAAAATGAGCAGTTCATCATATTCAGTTCAGTCTTTGGATGACGGCTCCTGGGATCAAACGAAAAGCATCCTGTGCTAAGCTTTGCATGCAACAGGGTCTACTGAGCACATACCTGTAGATGTAGGCTTTATCCAGGATAGCTTCCAACCGATCATTAAACTCAAAGAATGTGTTATGCTGAATGGAAAACAAAAGAAAGTAATCCAACTGTGATTCTTTACCATAGAGATTTTACTAAAATTCCTGACACTGGCTCACATATACATTTTGAAAGCAAAGGATTTGTCAGTAGTCTTTTTTGAACAGTTTCTTTGAACTCTTTCTTTGAGTCAGTAGTCACTTTCTTTGAACATTTAACTTAAAGAGGAACCGCAAAGCAAAGATGAGCATTGAATTAAATATTGTTTCTGGTATTGATCACAGAGATAACGTAGCTGTTTTGATCAGGCTGCTGCTGCTGAATGAATTTGCTTCCTCAAATGTACATATTTGTGAGGGCAATTTTAGCAGAGATAATTACACATAAAAAACCCTTTCCCTTCTTTCTACAGTTCCAGTAATTCTTCAGCTAGCGATGATATTTATCAGCAACCCCACATTAGGGGTTACTACAATCATGTAGTAACATTTGCTGCTGTACTGCATTTCTCAAATTATTTCTAGTTTTACCTTAAGTGTTAGCTCTTAATATTCCCATGTGCCTTTTCCTTGTTTCTGTGCAGTACACATTCGCTTGCTGAGCACTGTGTCCTGCTTCACTTTTCATTTTTTCATACTGACTCGGTTCTGATTTGAAATTTTGTTGAAAGCCGAATTGAAATCTGTCCTGCCTTTCTTCTCAGAATTCTTGCTTCTCCATACAGGGAATGTATTTAGCCACAGAGCAGCCTGCAAGGTAGCACGAAGGGGAGGGAGGAACAGTGCTGGTGCCTAACCCCTTCACAGCCCCTCTGTGGCACACTCACACATCTTTGGATTCAATAACACATTTGGGTTTGTGCTTATTAAATGTCTTATATTAAATATTCCCTTCTTTGCTTTTCAGCAGCTGACATTAAGGTGCTTAATGTCACCAGAAGGGGACATGCTGACAGAGAGTGAAGGGGTAAAAGAAGAGGAAAATACACTGCAGTTACAGAATCACAGAATCACAGAATATTTAAGGTTGGAAGGGACCTCTACAGATCATCTAGTCCAACCTTCCTGCTCAAGCAGGCACACCTACAGCATGTGGCACAGGGTGGCATCCAGCTGGGTTTTGAAGACCTGCAGAGTAGGAGACTCCACAACTTCCCTGGGCAGCCTGTTCCACTGCTCTGTCACCCTCACAGTAAAGAAGTTCCTCCTCACCTGGAGACGGAACTTCCTGTGTTTCAGCTTGTGGCCATTACCCCTCATCCTATCGCTTGCCACCAGTGAGAACAGCTTGTCCCCTTCCTCCCTGCATTCCCCCTTCCTGAACTTATACATATTAATCATATGCCCTCTGAACCTTCTCTTCTCCAGAGAAAACAGGCCCAGCTCACTCAGTCTCTCCTCGTACGAGAGATGTTCCATTCCCTTAATCATCYTRGTTGCCCTTCTCTGGACCCTCTCTAGAAGCTCCACGTCCCTCTTATACTGGGGAGCCCAGAACTGCACACAGTACTCCAGGTGCGGCCTCACCAGAGCTGAGGAGAGGGGCAGAATCACCTCCCTTGACCTGCTGGCAACASTCCTCCTGATGCAGGCCAGGATCCCATTGGCCTTCTTGGCCACGAGGGCACACTGCTSACTCATGGTTAACGTAGTGTCAACCAGGACTCCCAGGTCCCTCTCCGTGGAGGTGCTTTCCAGCAGGTCGACCCCTAATCTGTACTGGTGCCAGGGGTTATTCCTCCCCAGGTGCAGGACCCTGCACTTATCCWTGTTGAACCTCATGAGGTTCCTCTCTGCCCAACTCACCAGCCTGTCCAGGTCCCTCTGGATGGCAGCACAGCCCTCCGGAGTGTYRGCCACTCCACCCAGCTTGGTGTCATCTGCACACTTGCTCAGATCTCTTACTTCGAGATCTTGACAAGTTTTAAACTAATGTTTTTGATCTTTGACAATTCTGTAAGATCTTTAATAAACTTTAATAAATTTAATTTAAAYAATGGAAACAAATGTGTCAATCACAAAACACATTTTTTTTAAACACAGAAAAGAATAAAGTCAGGAGAAAAATAGAATAAGACTTAAACTAGCTAGACTATATATTGTATTTGTTTATGGCATGTTTACTGAAGTTGTAGCTCAGACCTTCAAAATTTTTAAGTATAATTTCCAACTTTAAARTTCCTTAATCTTAAATATTATGAACAACTTTCCATTGGGGTTTAAAGGCACTTACATGTTAGCCATCCATTTCAAACAGATCTTACCTTTAGCATCCTGTTTGCTCTAAACGCYGGGTTAAAACCGAAGAAGAAATATAAAACTTCAAAGGGCAACACTGATAGCACATCAAGCTGTTGAAGAGCACAAGTCAGTTTAAACTTCACAGTGATCATGATGCCTTTACTTGCTATTAGAAACTTACTTTCTATCACAATTGAGCATCATCATTGAGCCTTCAGCATGTTATGCTCATAATTTGCAAAGTGCTGTCAGCAGGTTTATCTCTTTGAAAATAATAACAACTTTGCTCTGCTCTACTTTTTAGTCTCTTGTGTCTGAGATTTTTATCTATTTCATGGGGATTATTAGCAGTAGCTCAGTTATTTGACTATTAATGCATTTGGTTGTTTCCATTATGGGTCTGAGAAGATGGTGTGCTGCAGTGTGCATGTGGCTGGGCAGTGGAGGTGAAGAAAACATGCTGCAAGTGCTTCTTAGTAGTCATATGGATTTTAAAGTTAGGCTAGCTAAAGCAATCTAGAGAAACATGACAGTCTAGACTCCTTGCTTCTAGCTTGCAACTTCTATGTATTGTGTACAACAGAGTCTTTGCAGTCTCATAGGTTTTTTTTTTCAGTTATCGACTTTYGTTACATTTAGATCCTTCTGCTTCCCAGCAGTCACTATAGTGTTTCAGCATCTTCCAGCAGCCTAGCAATTGTGTGATTATGGTTTTTAACTTGCCTACACTATTCTTACAGGAATAGTTTGCATAGGAGGAAAGCTATGGGAAACTTGACTTTGACTTTTCACGTTTCATATCCTGAAACACCTTGGTTTGTTGCTGTCAGCATGACTTGGGAATGAAAGACAGATGTGGAACTGAAGGCTTTGTCTTACTATGCTTTGATTCCATGCAGGTAAGACACAGCTAAAACCTGAACTACGTAAAACAGACCAAAACGAACAACTTACTGAGGTAAAACAGATTCATACAACCTCTCCCTCCCTCAGACTTAACAGGAGGTAAAATTTAGTCATAAGTGTTTCAACATCAGTTACTGCTAATCTGTACTTACTTAGATGGCAGATTCCCAAATTATAACTATTTCTTGCATGTAGTAAAAATACTTAACTCCCATTAATTTCTACAGAGATATAGAGTACTAAACATATTGCAAGAAGAAACCTAAAATAAAACCAAGTATAAATATAATATGTATAAATATAGTAAATTTAAATATATTTATATATTAATTATACATATTTATGCATATATAGAAAATATAATAAAACTAAAGATCTTGCTTTGAGCTTCACTGTTTCTTCTGCTTATCCACTTATAGCTGTTTTTTGGGGCTTTGAATTTTGAAGGCAATTTTGCATCGCTCAACTTCAGGCAAAGATTGCTATTTCAGAAACATAGGCTCTGCGTCACAAAGGTGTATATATTCCAGGAATTCAACAGAGCCCATGTACTGTGCTGGCAAAAACAGTGTTTAGGATTAAAATAAGCAATTTTCCTAAATGAAATGCTTCTTTGTTTTTATACAGTGAAAGGAAAATCAAAAAACTTGTTTTGAATTTTTTTGTTTACTTGAGTGAGCAAGAACATGCTCATTACCTCAATGTACTTCCTAGAGATAACTAAACAGAGTTATCATCCATTTTTAAACTGTTAATTTTCTTTAATGAATCTCCTACAAGCTGTGCTGCTGCCTTTGCTTGTGCATGGGGATGACCTGCAAGAAATGCATCAAGACAGAGAATTTCATTAATTCTATTTTATCCAACTGTTATTGCTTATAATTAATATTTATAATTGTTCATAATAATTCTATTTTATAATTTGACACTCTTTATGAAGATGTCAACACTTGTTTCAGCTGGTAAAAATTGACATGCCATATGCCTTCTGTTTTCATTCTTAAATCAAGAATAATTTTGGTGAATTGAAGTACCCTGTGAGATGTTATAACCAGTATGCAAAGCATTGAAATACAACTACAGTAATACGGGGTCTTCTTACCTGAAACTTCACGGTGCTGTGATAGAATTTCTTCATTTCCACTTTGTCTGTCTATAGCAAAAAAAAAAAAAAAAAAAAAGCGAGAACAGTATGTCAGGAATGAGTGCTGTTATGCATAATAATAGCATTCTTCTGATTTACATTACTAATGGGCTAAAACCATGAACAGAGAAATATCTGTAGCAAAAAGTAATACGCATTATTAGATTAGTTTATATTAGATCAGCCTGTATTAGATCTACTTGAAGRAAAGTTAAGTATGAGGGTTGTATGTTTTCTTTCCCATCTGTCTGGTGTACTAAAATACGTTGCATTTTCCTGCAAAATTTCACTCTCAAGATCTCTCTACATATTGGTGCTTGACCCAACATCCTTCAGTTTCAGGGTCAAAAACATCTTTTGACTTCAGTGATTCCAAGAAAAATGCAAAGAACATTTCTGATAGTGCTGTACAAAATTAGCTCCCTGAAAGCTAAATGAATGTGCAATCGTTAGCATTAGCATTTTAATAATCAACATTGCATTCATTAGAAATGATTAGCTATTTATTTTGCAATTGCTCTCCATGGGAACTGATGTGAGTACCTTAATAAGAAAGGCTAATCACAAGAATCTAAAGAAATGTATCTATTATTATACTTACAGTATTTATATCAGGGTCACTTTAAAAATAGGTCTAAATTTGTAAGCATATTTCCATGCCAGCTTTTCATTATTATCATTGTAAGCTGCAGATCAGGCTGCAGATGATCTCTTCAAGCACTAATATATATGAATGCTACAAAAAGTTTCAAGTGAAATAAATAGTAATTTTCCATGTCAGACTTTTAACCTTTTTCATAAACCTTGAGTTTTGTGAGATTTAGGCAAGATTGCCAGGTACGAAATGGTTTGGCATGGAAAAAAACATTACACACACTGCATTTTATTATCTACCCAAGCTACATTTATATAGTCCTGAGATCCCTGTGTAAAAGTATTAGCCATATTTTGTACTCATACTGTGTAAAATGTTGCATAAAAAGTACTGAACTAAAGCTAGTTCCAAATTACCCTGAGAACATAGGATTTTGCATTTTCTGTCAGGCATAGCACTATTGTACTGAAATTATCTACACTCTTTTTCTGTACATTGAGTTTTCTTCAATGTAAGTTAAAAACTCAAAGTAGGGAAGTTTCTAAAGAAAAGTTAATGTTCTAGATGACCTTTGACAAGCTAGGGGAAAGCTTTTAACTTTTTTAGACACTTAGAGTTTCATTTTGTATTATTGCATAAAAATATGGAAAAAATGTATCAAAATTAAAATTTAATTATCACAAAATAAAAAACTTCAAATAAATTATTTTAAAGCATCTTAAAACTCCAGGAATTTGCTTTGATTTTGACAAAAAAAAAAAAATCTCATAACATGTAACAAATTATTCATCTCCAGCTCAGTCCTAGAGAAATATTCCTAGAATATTCCTAGAATATTCCAGTCCTAGAGCCTTCAGCTACAATTTGTATACAATATGAATGGAAAGATACAATTTCAAATACATATAGATATGTGTATAAAACCACATTCCTATAACCCCTGATTTCAGTGAAGCTGCACCATGCAGCACAGCAAGCCGTGCCTCTTCTGACTGCTTACATCTCTTTTTGTCACATCTGCTTTTTCTTTCTTAAGGACTTCTGTGTCTAGAATTGCAAAACTCACACAGAATATAGAAATATTTCCTTCTTCCAGAACACAAGAGTGAAAGGTCAGTGAAGAATAATATTAACATATTCTGGTAAATAAAAATACTACAGGGATTTGACATAGTATGAAAAATAAATTATCTGGTAGTTTAAGGATTTTTTGTAATGTTCTTCAAATCACAGCTATTGCCTGTGGAAACCCTACCTCCACTACTTACTATGATATCTCCACCTTTTAAAAATTGCACTCTGGGCTGGAAAACCAACAGGTCACACAGGTAGCACATGTCACAAATGATGTCTATGGCAAGCCAGTATATCATATTAKTTGGGGTTTGATATGGAAACACAAACCGCAGGGGAATAAACCAGCAGTTCCAGTTATAGGCGACTGTTACAAGCATGAGCCATGCTACATAACGACGATCTGAAAGACAAAACAGTGAATGTACAGGCAGGAATTCAGAGTCATTTCTCTTTCTTTTAGACTTATTTAGTCTAGAGCAGGCTCTGGGAACTTTTCTGTATCATTCTCCCCCTTTCAATGGTGCAGACTCCTAAAGTAATATATGGTGGGACTGGGAGTCACATAGAGACTTTACAAAAGTGAAAACAGAAGAATTTATGAGTGAATATAGAATTTAAGCCATTTCAAGGAGCTCCATTTTTCCGTTGGCCTGGAAGGACTGCAGGTGCATGATGTGAGTGACATCGTATGAGCAACAAAAGGATTATTTGACCCTAACAAATGGACCAAATGCTGTATCAGGAGACTTGGGTTTTAATTGTGATCATTTTACCTATCAACTTTGGGGAACTAGAGAAAACACGTATGCAGTTTTTCGGTGCCTCTACTGCTGTTGGTTGTTTTCATGTCTTCTGGTAGTTTGATTGATGGAAGTTCCATCTCCAAGTGAGGAAGAACTTCCTTCCTGTGAGGGTGACAGAGCCCTGRAACAGGCTGCCCAGGGAGGTTGTGGAGTTTCCTTCTCTGGAGGTCTTCAAAACCTGCCTGGATGCCACCGTGTGCCCTGGGTTCTGGGTGTCCCTGCTTGAACAGGAAGGCTGGACGAGATGATCACTAGAGGTCCCTTCCAACCTTAACTATTCTGTGATTCTGCGATCTGAATAGTCTCACACAATCTCAATGTCCCTCTGAGATACCCACCAAAGCATGGGTCTTACAGAATATGTAGGTGCTGCTGAGGGACTTCTTCACATCTTTGACAGATTCTCTTGGTGGCTTTATTTTACCTGTGTACGAGTCTATGCTCTCTGGTAGCTGCAGATATTCCATATATTTTTTCAGTGGAGGCTTTTTGAACTTGCAACACAGCATATCACAGTAATGATCCTCCTCTGGCTTTGCTTCTGCTTCCTCTTTTTTTTCTTCTTTTTTTTCTTCTTTTGGTGGTGGAGGAGGAGGCTTCTTTTTTGATGGTGCTAACAACATGGGAATGCCATAAAAGGAAATATATTGATAATGGTGGAGTTGCTACGCCCAGTTTCAACACATGCAAGAGCCTCAGCATGGCAAAAATGCTAGTAACAATACTCGGCAGTGACGACCACTAAAATTCACTAAAATACTGAATGCATTCAAAGCAGATTGGAGAATAAAATCACCATTTATCTAATCATGCTCATCTTTCACCAACATGCTAATTTATGTTACAGAGTGAAATATGTATACCTATACTACTCTATTTCCTTGGACAGTACAACGAATGCCATGGAGGTTGGATGAGATCTAAGGTAACCAGTATTCATTAATGTGCCTGGTTCTTTCTTGCCAGTTATATATAATGCATATAATCAGGATGGAAATGAGGAAATGTGACTGCACCATGGCCTGGATACTCTCCTGTTCTGAAAATAAATGTGTAAGATGCAGAAGGTAAAACTAATAGGAAGCCCATGATTTTGTTGCCATGTGTTAGTTTTCTGAGACCAGTTAGTCTGGATAGTTTTGTTTACATATTTGTCCCATTCACTGAAGTATAAAATCTCCACACTCAATCTCTTGTGAGAAGGAAAAAGAAAATCTTTCCTCCAAATCTTTCCTCTAAAGAGGAAAAACATCACATGTTATTTCATGTTTCATATATTGCCAAGATCAATGTTTAATTTCAGATGAATTTGCTCTATCCAAATCACGGACCTATCTTCCTCAGTGAGTATGGGAGACTACTGTCACAGGTTAAACTTCATTTACTTTTACATAACAATACTGGACATTGTTCCAAATTTCTCTCCAAATGATGGGATTCAAAGGAGCTCTACATATGGACCAGGCTTATTCTAGATTCTTACAGATGAATTGACTTTAGATGGTACAAATTTAACTTATTTTTGTGGGTGAGCATCTGACATCCTATGCTGTCCTAACTGAAAATTTTAGTCTACCATTTCTTTTCTCACAGAAAATTCATCTTCATATTCATCAAATGAACATCTATTTATTGCATTCTAAAATCACTTACAAGCTGTTGGACTGCCTTCAGGTGAGGACAGCACTGGATCTGTCAGCCTCTCTTTGTAGACTGTTGTCCTTTCCCGCATTTTTCTGACAATCGCCTGAAGTTGGTCATTGGCATACTCATTTGTTGGGAAATCTTGACGTGGTGCCTTCTGTGTGCTAATTAAAACAAAAGAAAAAAAAATAAGGTATTTTAAAGAAATGGAAGGAAGCTGTGCTAAATCCAGAATATGAGAATTCAGACATTAAGACTCAATCTCTTTTGGTCACAATGCTTATTTTCTTCCTTTAATTCATAGGAGTACTATCTGATTACTAGCTGATTATTATCTCTCTACTGCAGGTATTTAGGAGTACCAACCCGTAGAAGTTGAGCTGTGCTTTGGACTACTCCCGCGTGCATACAAGGACACAGAGTAGAGAAAATATGCCCTGTTCCAGAGGTGGGGTCCACATGTGGATATATACATTTGGAAGCAGGAGTTGGAAGTATTTCTTATCATAAATCTGCCATAGAAGAACAGAAAAAAATTTCTAGCTCCATAAAATAACTCTAGTTTTAAAATGTATCAGAAATTAAATTAAGAAATGGATTCTGTAAAATTGAATTGTGGTTCCTTTTTATGAAATATACGATTATGAAAATAAAAGCTGTTAATACATATAAAACTGATTTATGACCACATTATAGTGGCAATAAAACTTCACAAACATGCAACTAGCTAATAGTTCCTGCTGTTATCCTAAATAAGATTAAAATGTTACTGTATAATGCCACAGATGATGCGTCAGATCTTGGCCATGATTCTAGCAATTGGTTTGCTGATCTGTGGAGGAGCTCACCACTGATAAAATGGGCTGGATAACAAGAGCTGATAAAATAAGATTATGAGTGCGTCTATGTGTGTTAATAGAGCACATCTTGAAACATTTGAGAGGGTATTTACTCCAAATTAATCCTGCTAAAAAGGATGATGGATGTCAGAGACAGCAAGTCCCACTGTGATCCACATATGCCAGGCTGTGGCCTCTCCTCGCTGGTCAAAATTGCTGCATCTGTTGCTAAAACCTTGGCATTTTTTTCAATGTACACAAAGCAGAATGGAGTGGTTTTTTTTGGTTTTTTTTTTTTTTGTTCCTTAAAGATTTTTGATCCCCTGTCCCAGATATCATATGATGTGGATGTTACTGCAATAAAAGGAGTAGAGTGAAGCAGGTGTGAAGTGTCAAGCTACTTGAGAAAACCTTCCTAGAGGTAAGAGAAGGGATATAACACCCTCAATAGGGAAAAATGAAGAACATTTCTCAACGATCTTTGAAAAAGCTCTATGCCCCCTCAAGATGTGAAAGTGCTTCTGTGTTCAGAAGGAGTTGTAATTAAAAGAAGAGAGTGTGGGAATGGGATTTGAGAAGCTTTTTGAGAAGCACAGCTTTTATGAGACACAACACATATCACAGTGCCTAAGGAAGTGTAAGTTATAAATGTGAAATTCCATCAAAAATGAAATATTGGATAAAATATAGATAAATCATTAGTAGAAGCAGAAGCAAAAATCTGGAAGTATGTGTTTAGCATTCTTCCAGTTTAAACTTTCTGTTTAAAATTCCCTGATCTGGAGATTAATCAAGACGTTCTGATACACTTTGCTATCTAATCACCATCCCCTTAGTCACCTGTTCCCTGTACTCTGACCATCTGTGGTTGAATCTTTTCTTGTTTTGAGCTAATATGTCACATGTAGATTCTATGTAAAAAATTTCAAATAATTCTTACTTTAGCCATTTACTATCTTTATTCAGGTCATTAGCTATTTTATAATAAAATAAAATTATTACCAAAGTCTTGTCAAGTGCCCTTTCTGCTATTCCTGTGGGATAAGCCTATACGTATGGCATTTTCTTGTTAGTTTTTCAGTTCATCTGAACCGAAAAGTTCGGCTTTTCCAGCACAAGTTTAAGTCTCCACTATTATAAATTAAGTACTTTATTATGCCCTATAGCCCAGTGAAAACATGTTGCCAGTTGGTACTGTTTTGCAGCTATGTGAATCTATTTAAAGTTATACGCTCTATAGATGATGATAAACTGATGTTCTGTGCTGTGCACAGGCTTCCCAGGGAGGTTGTGGAGTCTCCTTCTCTGGAGGTCTTCAAAACCTGCCTGGATGCTGCCCTGTGCCCTGGGCTCTGGGTGTCCCTGCTTGAGCAGGAAGGTTGGATGAGATCATCTCTAGAGGTCTCTTCCAACCTCAATCATTCTGTGATTCTGTGATTTTCTGCTAAAGAAATGCCTACCTTAAGTTTTCTGTAATGGATATGGAAGAGACTGCATGTTGCAAACTGCTTACTTGAAGACCTATATTGTCCAAGTGCTTAGTGGAGAGCTGCACTTCAATTTGTCTCAGCAAATGAAGCCTTAATCGAACTTCTTCAAAAACAAAAAGGTTATCTCTGACCTTTGAGCAATATGTTACAATAGTAGATATACTACATCATAAAGGCTTTAAGAGAATGAAGATGTTTATAATACCCTGCAGAAATAATGACTTCACATGGTACAGGAATGAAGCAGTCAGGAACATGGCTCATAGGCTGTGCTGTTGAGTAGTTTTGTTATTACTTTAACTATATTGTGTCTAATAATAATATATGTAAAAATAATAATGTTTCTTATTTTGTAAATCCTGTCTGTCCTGTGAATCAGATTACAGTGTCTTAATTCTTTCCAAGTCAAGTGAAAAGATTTAGACATCTATCACAAAGCAGAAGAAAGAGCCCTTGAAAGAACAGGTTACTGAAATATAGCATTGATTATATTAATGTATGCAACATCTATTAGGTGGCAGGACTTTAAAGTTTTCTGTTAAGAATTAATACAAAACAAGGATTAGGAAATGCAATGAGTTTTTTAAGAATAAATACACTTGTTTTCATTTACAATCTAGAGCTTAATTCTTTCTGTCTTCTTGGCCTTGAACACCAAATATCTGAATTTAACTGCATCTTTTATCTAGCAGGTCAAAACTGAGAAAATGTATTTCATAAACGTAGGCTGCTATCCAAAAAAAATCCATAGTCCTTTTTGCTGAATTCAATCACAACCCTTTGCAGCACTTAATAAATATGCTCTTGTGCACCTGCAAATAAAATTCTTCATCTTGCAGTAGAGATTTTCATGCTTTTATTGAGCACTGACATTATGATTTATGATCATATTTACAACTGGTGTTTTGAACAAATAATTTGTAGTCTTTAATAAATTATCTAGAACATCTCATCCAAATAACCAGTTTTCAGAAGGACATGACAATGCATGGCTATAAAATTGCCCATAAAACATAATGGTGTAGATGAGAAAGATTTCGGCGTGATTGAATAATGTAGTTCTAGGCATTAGTGAAAGGTCTTGATTCAAAGACACATCCTCAGTATGCTGTGATAAACCTTGTGTGGGTAGAATTCAGGGATTTGAATCCTCTATTTGTCCCTCCATTCCAAGGCTAAAATCACACACTAGGGAAACCTCATGGTTCTGTAAGGAAAAATAATGTTAGTCGTCTAGGACGTGAAGGAATGGAAGTATTCAGAAAGGCTGACTAATGTATCTCATTATACTCTCTTTATAGCCAAGGGAAGGAGACAGGTTTCTCTGAGGAGAGTTTCAGAATGACTGAGCTGAGTTCCTGCTCTGAACTGCCTGCGAAATGAGCCTATACTTCTCCATTACCTCCCCAGGAAGCCTACAAAGATTTAAAAGCGTATTTTAATACCTTCATTAATGACCTTGATACCAAGTGTAGTAGAGTGCTAATGACAGTTGAAAGGATGTCAAATTAGGATGATAACAAAGCACAAAGTAGGACTGATTTTAATACAGGAAATATGGAATTATTAGAACTAGATAATAGAAATGAGAGCAAACAACGGGTACATAATGCAGTCATGCGTTTAAGAACAACTGTTAAAATTTCTTCTGAGAATGGGGGGAATCATAAATTGCAGAAAACAGAGAAATATCCAGTCAACATCAGGATATCCATGAGCCATGCTCTAAACTGGCATATATGTAACCCTAGAACGTCTCTGAGATGTGTTCCCAGTAAAGTGAAGGAGCCATTAATATGAGGATAAACGTCAACACTGCAGCTTGTTTAAACCAGCTATATKCAAAAGGTGAGTTCACACAGTAAGCAGCATACAGAATTGCTATGAGAATGATCAAAGCTCTTGAGATTTTGGCTTCTGAGAGGTCACTAGACAACCAGCAAAGCAAACTGAGAGGCAGTAGGATTGTTGATTGTAAATCATCTTGGGGATGGAAAGGTGAGGAAAAGAGGGATTTGAGATGAAGAATCGAATTTTTAGAACAAATGTAAACAGAAGAATTGTGAATTAAAATGAGTTAATGATCAGAAGAAAATTTCTAAGACTTCATAGACTGAGATTTTAGGCAGCCTTCTAATATGAGACTCAGTTGAAACAAATGTGACAAATTTTAAGATGATATTTGTTAAGTTCATGAAAAGTGTTGTAGGCAACAATTCCTTAAAATGTAGAGAATGGATCTTTTCAGCAAATAAACTTGACACGTCTAGAGGGAGAAAGTGAATGTGTGATTTTATTTATATAGGTGACACCACAAATGTTACTACCAAAAACTGAACAGCCCAAGTGCTACAGATGTGAACTGAGGTACTAACAGTATTATTTTACAGTCCTGAAAGAAACTGTTCAGTTTAGATACTTTGAAACTTCAGAAAGCTCTTAATTCAACTTAAATTTTCAGTAACACTCCTGAAACCTGTATCTATCTTTCTCTTGCCACATCATCCATTCTTCTTCTTTTCTAGTGGGAAAGTGAAAGAAACAGATCTTTCAGTGATCCAGTAAAAAGATGTCTTTCTCTGTTTGCTGCCATGTTTTAGAATGATGTCAGTAAGATATTTTTTCTTTGTAATAAAGGATAAAATATGTTTTTATTTTCATTGTGTTTTTGGATTGCATTATGTTTCACTACGCAACTCGAGCTTGAAGTGATGTTAGTTTCATTTTGCTATTTTCTTAGCTATTTGATTAATGTAAATATAATGATAATGTGACCACTACTTGTGTTAGTAACTTTGGTTATATGTACAATCAAAGACAGGCCATAATCATTAA